CTCTCTTGGTGCCGTATTCCACTTTTTTTAAAAGTAGTAGAAATGTGAAATTTGACAAAGACAAATGGTTTACCCTGGCAGGACATAACAAATACCCCACCATGGGAAGATGCAAAATTAGCGAAATCAAGATGAAAATGCAAAGATTGTGTACTTGATCGCAAGGCCGCCGGAAAAATATATGGAGACAACAAAACTTTGCTCTCCTTTTTTTCTTTAATTTCTTAGCAAGAAGATCATGGAATCTACTAAAGAACTTGAAGAATCCCAAGATATAGAACATGAAATGAGAAAACAAGCCAAAGAAAACAACCGCAAGTTCATCACTCTTCAAAGGGAATTTGTGGTGTATCCAGAAGTGTTTTACCCACCCGAAGACGGTCATGCCCACTTCGTCAATTCGACAATATACAGGATGGCAACCGAAGAAATAGCGAAGAAATCCCGACAAGCATCCATCGAATTCCTTGAGGTTGGCTGTGGGGCGGGCTTTATCGGTATATCAGTGGCTTTGTCGTCTGCGAAATGCCAGGTTTGGGCAACTGACATCGTCGATGAGGCAGTGAAAACGCTACAGCAAATGCAAAACTTCATGGCGTAGAAAGCCGTTTCCACGCTGTTAAGGCGAACGTCTTCGATCATGAAGAAATCAATGGAAGGAAGTTTGACATGATATACTGGAATCATCCGTGGGGCGGCTATGGCACGACAACAGCGACTAAGGTCCAGCCATTAATGAGGAGCCTTCTGGATCCTGGTTACGAGGGCCTTCAAAGCTATCTTTCCAAAGCAAAGGAATACCTTAAGGAATCTGGTCGACTTATTGTCACCTTCTCTTACTTTTATGGCTCAGAAGAAAGGTTTACCGAAATTGCAAGTGAAAACGGATGGAATATCAAGGTCGTTGACGAAAAGAAGTGTGTCCAGGAAATCGAAGGAAAACGAATTGAACATTTCACCGCGATGGTCATAGAACTTATTGAAGATGTAAAGTAATACTTAACATGAGGCGAACTCAATGTAAATACGCAGAGGATGCCAAAGGTGTCTAAAGAATTACCGGCTTACATGTTCGAACAACAACAAAAAATAACTCTAATTAGGGGAAAATAAACAGAATGAAACGACAGATTTGGTGTACATCATTTGTCAGCAAAAGTAAGACAATAGGGAGCTGAAGATCTAACGACGGCAATGGTTACGAAAATTTCACTGAAGTGTGAATTCGCGCTGCTTCAATTTTTATCGCACTTATTCCATCTTGTTCAATTCGCTCAATCGTGGTGAAGAGGAGGGGGAACTCGGGCACGCCAGAAGGTGGGGAGGGAAGGAATGCCTGCAAGGAGCTTTCCTTTCTCCTCCTCCTCGCGCGTCCCGAATTCCCCCTTACCCTTTCTCATTTAACGCCTGCCACGCAGGCTATCGAAAATGTAGAATTCAACAAAAAATATATGGCTCACCCAATAGTAATAAGCCCCTGATGACAAATTCCAAAAGCTGGGAACTCGAGACTTGACAAATGTCCGGCAAATGGCAAAGGTGGTGGTGGGGGATAGGGGTTCTTGGAGCTGACCGATAGATTACAATATTCGCAGAATTTTACCTGAAAATTCTCTCCTGCTGAGTAAAAATATTATCGAAATACTGAACTCTCAATAGATAGCCGGAGAATAAGTATTGGCGGGACCCGCTTTAAAGTGCAAGTGACTATCATCATGTAAACAGAGGCGAGGCAAAGATCGGAGTCGGGTGACGATAACGGATCACGTATGTTTCATATCCCATCACACTTCACGTAAATACCAGCCTAGGTATAAATAAGCCGAGGCCTGGAGCGAGATTTCTGGACGTTCTTTAGCCTGCGTAGCGGGCGCCAATTTTTTTTAGGGCGAAGGAAGAAATCTCGAAGAAAGTATGCGCGGCCTGTAGTAAGATAATATTACCGGCGCCTGCTATGAAGGCTAGAAGTTCTTTGACACTGGGTCCGTAATTCGGAAAACTCTAGGAGGATCCGTTCGCTTGCCGAAGTTAACGAAATGGAAAGACCATATTATTAGAGATACAAAAGGAAAAAAGATTTGTCGGTTCCACACCTCCTATTAAGTTTTTTTTCCTCTGTTGGGTAGATTATGATCTACCCGGCACCCAGGGTAATTATGATCTGGAAGGTTGCACATTTTCACTGAGCTATTGTGATTTTAGCCGCTTGTTTCACACTGAGATGACATGGCACACATATCGATTTACTGTGGTTTTTGCATCTGGTTTGAAGGATTTTCCCTCTAACGCAAGAGCATCTTCTGTGACCTCAGTTTTTGAAGCGTAAAGCATTTTATTACAGCTGAATAAGGGTTCTAATTTTCTCCAAAGTGCCTTGTGGATCTGAATAACTAAGCGATTTTGTTAGTCCGTGAATGTAAATAAAAATGTTGTTTGTTTTTTTTTTTTGCAATGTTGTATCACGCTGGGCCCATGCAGCTCATGAGTTTTCTTTGCAGGATGTTAAATTATCACGGTTAGTGATTTACAGATACAAAGTTATAAGAATTAAGTGCAGCTTCAACTGAAGCTGCATAAACTATGGAGAAATGCATTGTGACTCAGTAGACTCTAGCTTGGTTTTTTTCTATAAATGCGAATCTTCTGACTGGAGCGCGTATTCCCTTCCTCGATAATAGCTTTTGAATAAGCTTTTTACAGTGTATGAACTGTTTTGTTAAATTGCCACTTTGTGATCAGGCAAGACCATGGTTACGGTTCTCCACGAACAAACCGGCGGCATCTTTTTGCCACAAAAACAAAGTGCTTTTTTGCATCCAACTGCAAGATAACATAAAATAAACATGGCCTTACAAAACCAGCACGTGAACGGCGCAACTGACTGTTGCATCTTCCAAAGCACAGCACTATTTGAATTCGCTATGCACTACACCAAACAGACCACCATCAAGAAGCAAATTTATGTCGATTTTAAAAAAATTGTTTCCAAGGATCAGAAAATTGAAACTCACCTTCTTTTTTTAGATGTTTTGCACCTTGTCCGGCATTTCTTTGAGCTGAAAAATTCTCGCGTTCGGTCGTTTTACCTCCCAAGAACGCACAAACGTTCATCGGTGGGCATTTTTTCTTCACACCCCTGATTTCTCATCGTCTTAAGTCACGGCTCTAGTAGTATGGGGAAAAGACACTTCTAGGCGCAGCAAAGAGCCTGGGAGCGACCTTCCCTCGTGTTTCTCCGCGTGGGCGCCATTTTGCAAATGTGGGTGACGTCATCATATATCCAGATCTGGTTGTGGCCCGGACTGTTAACAAATGTGAATTTAGAGAAAAATATTGTGAAATTCGAGCGAACTACGTAACTGCGCACTCTGTCTATCTTCTCTCCAACAATCCAGAGATGTCACAACTGATATCTATATTTTTAATGTTAATGTTTTAAATTCTTACAGTTACTATCTATTTGTCTTATTTTTATCTATCTTATTCATCTTATACATTTATTTATTTATTTCTTATTTTCCGACATCCGCCGTCCGCTATCCGCTATCCGCCATCCGCCATCCGCTGTCCGTTTCCTCGTTTTACAGACTCCTAACTTGAGGCGCTTTCCAAACCCAAGACCTGGCTGTGGCCGGACCATGGCCGGACCGGTCATTTTGACCTGAAAGAAATAGGCTTTTCCAAAGGGTTTTGCTGAAAAACCGTATCCTTCGCGCACCCTATTTAGTACCTGAGTGAGATAGCTGAATAGTTTTGATTAAAAGTGAAATTTTTACTTACGACAAGAAGGAGCTGGCCGCTCACTTCTGACAAATAGAAAGTACCCTTCATCATTTTTAATCTGTGACCATTTAGTTCGTTAACGGAGTTCAACTTTTACAACATGCGTCTTCTTTTTTTCAGCTTCTCACTTAAGCCGCGGGTAAGTGAGCTGTTTTAGCCAGGAAGAGCAGAGACCTACAGAAAACATGGGATCCTACCAAACAGAACCAGCAACGAATGCAATTAACAATATCAAACCGCTGCTTTGCAGTGAAGAAGAGCTGAGGCAAATGGCTTCGATCTTTCAAACTCCCTTTCAGCTCTATGACAAGGAATCAATTTTAAAAGGCGCAAGAATTTTCAATGAAAGCTTCGCTTGGACTCGGTCACTTACTGGTATGAGCTTCAAGAACCATTTCGCGATAAAAGCAACACCGACTCCAAAGATTCTGAAAATTCTCAATGAAGAGTGTGGCATGGGTATGGACTGCTGTTCTTTAGGAGAACTTCTTCTCTGTGAGAAACTGGGAATTAAAGGTGAAGATATCATCTTCACTTCTAACGACACACAGTTCGAAGAATATAGGAAGGCCTTTGAACTTGGAGCCATTATCAACCTGGACGACTTTTCGCAGATTGACAACCTCAAGAAGGCATTGGGTGGTATAATGCCTGAAATAGTGTCATTCCGCTTTAACCCTGGTCCGCTCTGTACTCTGCCTAGTAACGAGGTGATTGGTAACCCTGCCCAAGCAAAGTTTGGCCTCACGAAAGCTCAGCTTTTCTCAGCCTACAGGAAGTGCAAGGAATATGGCGTAAAGCGCTTTGGGTTGCACACCATGATCAAGTGCTACTGCCTTGATGTCTTGGAGCTTGCAAAAATTTCGCAGATGATGTTTCAGCTCGCAGTTGAAATTTACCAGCAGACAGGTGTTAGCCTTGAATTCGTCGACATGGGCGGTGGGATAGGCGTTAAGTATCGCCCTGAACAACAAACCGTCAACTTGGGAGACCTGGGAAATCGAGTGAAGGATTTGTATGAAGAAATCGTGCTGCCCTGTCACGGTCTGCATCCTTTACAGATCAAGTACGAGTGTGGAGCACTGGTGACCGCTGAACATGGTTGTCTTATTTCACGAGTGATCAACATGAAAGACACGTACAAACGCTTTCTCGGTCTGGATTCATCTATGGCTGATCTCATCCTTCAAGGGGAGTGCGAAGATTATCGTGATATCACGATTGTCAAAGATCAGTCTTTTCCAAGCCATGTCAGAAAGAATCTACCTGATTACAAAACGGTGATCGAAGACCCTTCCTACGCATCTCCACTCTTTGAAGGAAACAAGAGAGAGAGAATGTTCGATGTCGTGGGTTCAATTTGCATGAACAAGGACAAATTTGCTATCGACCAAGTGTTAAATGTGAATCCTCAAATTGGCGACCTGTGCATCACCCACGATACAGGAGCGTATGGGGGTTCGTCAATGACTTTCAACTTTAATGCCAAACTTCAACACGCCGAAATCTTGCGTGTTGCTCCCAGTCGTTATGAAATGATTCGTCGACCCCAAACGTACGATGACCACTTTGCGACGATGATATTTCCTTAACACACGGGCACGCCAGAAGGTGGGGAGGGAAGGAATGCCTGCAAGGAGCTTTCCTTTCTCCTCCTCCTCGCGCGTCCCGAATTCCCCCTTACCCTTTCTCATTTAACGCCTGCCACGCAGGCTATCGAAAATGTAGAATTCAACAAAAAATATATGGCTCACCCAATAGTAATAAGCCCCTGATGACAAATTCCAAAAGCTGGGAACTCGAGACTTGACAAATGTCCGGCAAATGGCAAAGGTGGTGGTGGGGGATAGGGGTTCTTGGAGCTGACCGATAGATTACAATATTCGCAGAATTTTACCTGAAAATTCTCTCCTGCTGAGTAAAAATATTATCGAAATACTGAACTCTCAATAGATAGCCGGAGAATAAGTATTGGCGGGACCCGCTTTAAAGTGCAAGTGACTATCATCACGTAAACAGAGGCGAGGCAAAGATCGGAGTCGGGTGACGATCACGGATCACGTATGTTTCATATCCCATCACACTTCACGTAAATACCAGCCTAGGTATAAATAAGCCGAGGCCTGGAGCGAGATTTCTGGACGTTCTTTAGCCTGCGTAGCGGGCGCCAATTTTTTTTAGGGCGAAGGAAGAAATCTCGAAGAAAGTATGCGCGGCCTGTAGTAAGATAATAGGGACCTTAAGATACCCTGGACGCGGCGGTAAAGAGAACGGAGAAAGCCTGGAGCGAGGACGCCGCCACCTTCGCGGGAAAAACAAATTAAGATTGAGCAGGTTGGGTTGAGTGCTCGCCTGACGAGAGAGGATAAAGTAATGCTTTCGTGTTTTAATTCCATAAGTCGTGAAGTCTTGCTTGATTGATACCTTAACGATCTTTTATTGGAAGAAAAATTTGTGCTGCCGGCTATTACTCCAGTTTCTCTAAAAAAACAACCGAATTTCTTCGAGGGAAACTTGAGGGTATGATCGGAGTTCAGTTTATCAGCTATTTGTTGCCAGACTTTTTCGCTTTTCGTTGTTCTAGATCTTGCTTTAAAACGATATGATACCGCTCCATCGCTGAACTGACAGTGAACAAAATAAAATTATAAAAGTGAAGTTAGAACCATGGCGTCTTGTTCAAGATCTCAATTTTCTCCGAAATGTTCAAGTTTGTTACGAGCCTAGATTTTTTGTTTTTCAACAATTTTTATTCGACTTCTTGTCTCTTAAAGTTTTCAAATACTATCCCAAAGCGAGAACGTTGTCCCCTTAAAAACAAGCAGTTATAGTGTTACATTTGTGTCGAAAGACTCAGCACTTTCATTCTCAGTTGCCGCCAAAACAATGAACCCAAAAGGCTTGATAGCAAAATAATAAGAGGCAATCTTGAGAGAACACCTCACTAAAAACACTTAAATGTGTCTCATTAAGTAAAACGGATCGAAAATCCTGTACGAAAAGCAATTTCTCCACTGAAAACAAGAAAACCAACTCACCGTTTTACGAGGCGGCCAAACTTCTAGTTTTCACCGTCGCGACTTCAGGTCGACGCTGTGGCATTATGCTAATTAGTTCCAAGAATTGAACATTTCACTTCCGGTTGACGTCCTCCTCGGCCGCGTCCATAGTATCTTAAGGTCCCTAATATTACCGGCGCCTGCTATGAAGGCTAGAAGTTCTTTGACACTGGGTCCGTAATTCGGAAAACTCTAGGAGGATCCGTTCGCTTGCCGAAGTTAACGAAATGGAAAGACCATATTATTAGAGATACAAAAGGAAAAAAGATTTGTCGGTTCCACACCTCCTATTAAGTTTTTTTTCCTCTGTTGGGTAGATTATGATCTACCCGGCACCCAGGGTAATTATGATCTGGAAGGTTGCACATTTTCACTGAGCTATTGTGATTTTAGCCGCTTGTTTCACACTGAGATGACATGGCACACATATCGATTTACTGTGGTTTTTGCATCTGGTTTGAAGGATTTTCCCTCTAACGCAAGAGCATCTTCTGTGACCTCAGTTTTTGAAGCGTAAAGCATTTTATTACAGCTGAATAAGGGTTCTAATTTTCTCCAAAGTGCCTTGTGGATCTGAATAACTAAGCGATTTTGTTAGTCCGTGAATGTAAATAAAAATGTTGTTTGTTTTTTTTTTTTTTGCAATGTTGTATCACGCTGGGCCCATGCAGCTCATGAGTTTTCTTTGCAGGATGTTAAATTATCACGGTTAGTGATTTACAGATACAAAGTTATAAGAATTAAGTGCAGCTTCAACTGAAGCTGCATAAACTATGGAGAAATGCATTGTGACTCAGTAGACTCTAGCTTGGTTTTTTTCTATAAATGCGAATCTTCTGACTGGAGCGCGTATTCCCTTCCTCGATAATAGCTTTTGAATAAGCTTTACAGTGTATGAACTGTTTTGTTAAATTGCCACTTTGTGATCAGGCAAGACCATGGTTACGGTTCTCCACGAACAAACCGGCGGCATCTTTTTGCCACAAAAACAAAGTGCTTTTTTGCATCCAACTGCAAGATAACATAAAATAAACATGGCCTTACAAAACCAGCACGTGAACGGCGCAACTGACTGTTGCATCTTCCAAAGCACAGCACTATTTGAATTCGCTATGCACTACACCAAACAGACCACCATCAAGAAGCAAATTTATGTAGATTTTAAAAAAATTGTTTCCAAGGATCAGAAAATTGAAACTCACCTTCTTTTTTTAGATGTTTTGCACCTTGTCCGGCATTTCTTTGAGCTGAAAAATTCTCGCGTTCGGTCGTTTTACCTCCCAAGAACGCACAAACGTTCATCGGTGGGCATTTTTTCTTCACACCCCTGATTTCTCATCGTCTTAAGTCACGGCTCTAGTAGTATGGAAAAAAAGACACTTCTAGGCGCAGCAAAGAGCCTGGGAGCGACCTTCCCTCGTGTTTCTCCGCGTGGGCGCCATTTTGCAAATGTGGGTGACGTCATCATATATCCAGATCTGGTTGTGGCCCGGACTGTTAACAAATGTGAATTTAGAGAAAAATATTGTGAAATTCGAGCGAACTACGTAACTGCGCACTCTGTCTATCTTCTCTCCAACAATCCAGAGATGTCACAACTGATATCTATATTTTTAATGTTAATGTTTTAAATTCTTACAGTTACTATCTATTTGTCTTATTTTTATCTATCTTATTCATCTTATACATTTATTTATTTATTTCTTATTTTCCGACATCCGCCGTCCGCTATCCGCTATCCGCCATCCGCCATCCGCTGTCCGTTTCCTCGTTTTACAGACTCCTAACTTGAGGCGCTTTCCAAACCCAAGACCTGGCTGTGGCCGGACCATGGCCGGACCGGTCATTTTGACCTGAAAGAAATAGGCTTTTCCAAAGGGTTTTGCTGAAAAACCGTATCCTTCGCGCACCCTATTTAGTACCTGAGTGAGATAGCTGAATAGTTTTGATTAAAAGTGAAATTTTTACTTACGACAAGAAGGAGCTGGCCGCTCACTTCTGACAAATAGAAAGTACCCTTCATCATTTTTAATCTGTGACCATTTAGTTCGTTAACGGAGTTCAACTTTTACAACATGCGTCTTCTTTTTTCAGCTTCTCACTTAAGCCGCGGGTAAGTGAGCTGTTTTAGCCAGGAAGAGCAGAGACCTACAGAAAACATGGGATCCTACCAAACAGAACCAGCAACGAATGCAATTAACAATATCAAACCGCTGCTTTGCAGTGAAGAAGAGCTGAGGCAAATGGCTTCGATCTTTCAAACTCCCTTTCAGCTCTATGACAAGGAATCAATTTTAAAAGGCGCAAGAATTTTCAATGAAAGCTTCGCTTGGACTCGGTCACTTACTGGTATGAGCTTCAAGAACCATTTCGCGATAAAAGCAACACCGACTCCAAAGATTCTGAAAATTCTCAATGAAGAGTGTGGCATGGGTATGGACTGCTGTTCTTTAGGAGAACTTCTTCTCTGTGAGAAACTGGGAATTAAAGGTGAAGATATCATCTTCACTTCTAACGACACACAGTTCGAAGAATATAGGAAGGCCTTTGAACTTGGAGCCATTATCAACCTGGACGACTTTTCGCAGATTGACAACCTCAAGAAGGCATTGGGTGGTATAATGCCTGAAATAGTGTCATTCCGCTTTAACCCTGGTCCGCTCTGTACTCTGCCTAGTAACGAGGTGATTGGTAACCCTGCCCAAGCAAAGTTTGGCCTCACGAAAGCTCAGCTTTTCTCAGCCTACAGGAAGTGCAAGGAATATGGCGTAAAGCGCTTTGGGTTGCACACCATGATCAAGTGCTACTGCCTTGATGTCTTGGAGCTTGCAAAAATTTCGCAGATGATGTTTCAGCTCGCAGTTGAAATTTACCAGCAGACAGGTGTTAGCCTTGAATTCGTCGACATGGGCGGTGGGATAGGCGTTAAGTATCGCCCTGAACAACAAACCGTCAACTTGGGAGACCTGGGAAATCGAGTGAAGGATTTGTATGAAGAAATCGTGCTGCCCTGTCACGGTCTGCATCCTTTACAGATCAAGTACGAGTGTGGAGCACTGGTGACCGCTGAACATGGTTGTCTTATTTCACGAGTGATCAACATGAAAGACACGTACAAACGCTTTGTCGGTCTGGATTCATCTATGGCTGATCTCATTTTTCAAGGGGAGTGCGAAGATTATCGTGATATCACGATTGTCAAAGATCAGTCTTTTCCAAGCCATGTCAGAAAGAATCTACCTGATTACAAAACGGTGATCGAAGACCCTTCCTACGCATCTCCACTCTTTGAAGGAAACAAGAGAGAGAGAATGTTCGATGTCGTGGGTTCAATTTGCATGAACAAGGACAAATTTGCTATCGACCAAGTGTTAAATGTGAATCCTCAAATTGGCGACCTGTGCATCATCCACGATACAGGAGCGTATGGGGGTTCGTCAATGACTTTCAACTTTAATGCCAAACTTCAACACGCCGAAATCTTGCGTGTTGCTCCCAGTCGTTATGAAATGATTCGTCGACCCCAAACGTACGATGACCACTTTGCGACGATGATATTTCCTTAACACAAGACCATAAAGTTTTACAAAACCCATCCATCACTTTCGAGATAAAGCTAAACTTATAAAGACAAGGAACCGACTCCACAGGAGGGCTCGGAAGAGCGGATTCCAGGAGGATTGGCAGGCGTTCGTAGATCTACGGCGGAAATTAAAATTTAGTAGTATAGTATATGGGGGTACCAGCGCATTTTTACAATATCTATCCTCAGACAGCCTCT